CCCCCCATCCTCCAGCTCCACCCCCTTCGCCTTCTCCCGCGACCTGCCTTCTGTGATCCCCTGCCAGCGAACTGACCCTCCGCGGCCCACAGCAAGGCCATCCGGGAGGATACCGAGACCTTTGACAACTATGTGGCCGATGTGACGGCCCCGATGTCCAAGCTGCAGATCGGCGCCGAGCCGGTCACCGACGATTTGGTCGATGGTCTCCCGCGCGACCTGCATGACCGAATCTTCTCCGGGCTTGAGGTTACCTACGCCGATGAGCATGGCGCTGGTGCCGAGGCTCGCGTCGACCTGGCGATGTGGGTGCGTACCTCCCCTCCTCCGCCCCCTTGCCTTGGAGCTGCCGCATGCCCTTTCCTCTTGGCTGACTTGCTCCTCCCTTTGGGAAATTCCCCGGCCGCCTGCCTCCCTCCCCTCCGCCCTGCGAATGCAGAACTTCGAGCAGTGTGATCCGCGCCGGTGTAGTGGAGCCAAGCTCGCCCGCGATGGTGTTATCCGGGAGATCCGCGTCAACAAGCGTTTCCCTGGTGTGGTGCTCACGTTCGTTGCCTCTCCCTCCCTCCCTCCCCCCCCCCTCCCTCTCTCTCTCTCCCCTGCGCGCGCACATTTTTTGCGCACGCACACACACACACACATAGACACGCTTCCTGGCATTTCAGACTCTCATGCTGACCCAAATCCCTCTATTTCACACATGCGCAGCCCTAACGCCACGCGTGCGGTCTCGCCAGCTGACCGGGACATCGTCCTCGCCCATGGCGCCTGCGTGGTGGACTGCTCTTGGGCTCGTCTGCAAGAGGTCCCCCTGGTCAGCCTGAAGACCCCGCACCCCCGACTTCGTACGCCCGGCCTTGGCTGTCATCCCGCATGCTCCCTTCCCCTTCTCCTGCTTCGATACCCATCGAACTTACACCTCTCGTACCCCTCGCGACCACCCTTTCAAGTGCCGTTCCTCGTGGCCGCCAACCCGGTGAACTATGGCCGTCCGCTCCGCCTGAACTGCGCTGAGGCTCTGGCCGCCACTCTCTATATCGTCGGCCTGGATCACCATGCTGAGCGTGTGTTGTCTCGCTTCAAGTGGGGCATGCAATTCTACCACCTCAATCAGTGCGTCCTCTCTGCCGGGCCTGTGTATCACCCGAGGCCGTGCGCGCCCCACGGCTTCGCGCACCTTCCAACGCACACTAATCCATGCACACGCACACACGCACGCAGGGAGATCCTCCGCCGCTATGCTGCTTGTAAGGATAGCGCCGAGATTGTCGAAGTCCAGCAGCACTATCTCGAGGCGATGGCTCGCGAAGGCGAGGAGCGCCGTCAGGCCCGTATGTCTCTCTCTCTCTCTCTC